TGTGTGTGTGTGTGTCTTACATCAAACTGGATCCCCAAGTAGTTCACTGTAATTTCAATACCCCTCGTCACTGGATCCGTCTTTCCAACTCGATCGAACACAATGTTTATAGTGGCCTATGAAAAACAGAATATGTTTTTTTAAAACTAATTGGATTATGTAACAGTATCTGTGTGTGAGTGTGAGGGAAAGACACAACGCCAGAATACAAGTGTTATTGTTCTCACCATGAAGATTTTCCAAACACAATAGATGGAAAAGAAGTAGCCGAGGAAATTGAAGTATTTCCCCTGGAATGTCTTTGAGTACTCAATTCGCTCCTAAAGATAAGGAAAGGTGGCAATAAAGAATTAGCAAATAATTTACTGTACATAAGCAACAGAAAATGAGTGGAGTGTGCAAACAAATGTGTGTCTGTTCCCTCGTTCTCTGTCCAGGTGTCAAAGACTCCTGGTTCCAGTTAAACAATGTGATTTGGGTAAAAATCAAAACTGAATAAAAATGAGTTTCTTCTCATGTGTATGTCAGCATGCTGTCAAACATTTATACATACTATGAACTTTTTATTTTTATTTTGTTTTATTAGGTCCTGTGATATAATAGTTCACGTGATGTGATGGAAATTAAGATGGTTTAAATGACATAATTATTGGACATAAAATGTCCACAGAAGAACTACTTCAGTGAGATATTATTATTGCTTTGTGTTCTAGGGGTGTGACACTATTCATCTATTTGCAAACACCTTAGCCAGAACAACATGTATCTAAAGGCAACTGTAAGGTCAGGGTAAGTACCTGAGAACTTTATCAGGAGTTGAGGAATTAAGTGTACACGTCACTTTCCCCACATCATTTAGTAACTAGCTCTGTAATGTTTGACTGTCTCCCTACACCGCCCACTCTAATAATAAACTGAGAGGGTGGGGTAGGGACAAACTACGAAGACACACTGAAGTACATAACAACTGATGGGAAACACAAACAAGCATCCACACATGTACTCAGATTAACGGGTGATAAAGATCCAAAGTTGATTATCAGGAGGGACAGACGATCCTTGATAGTCAAAGAAACCACAGATGATAATTCAACTGAGCCTTCATAAAATCTCTCTCTTTTATCCTCCCCTTGCTGTTTGCTGAGCAGGTAGCGTACGGTGTGTATTTATAACTTTTTCTCTCAAAACCGCTGCCTGCTGCAGCCTGAAACAATACTATGAGTGGTGAAAGTGAACCAAAACAGCAAAGTTGTGGGCCAGACAGCTAAACAATGAGATGAAACTTAGCTAAAGAGCTGCTCATTCAGGTGATTTCAGATTTTCTGTAAGTTAATCACTACGAGCAACCCCTTTTACATTGTCACATTGTCATTGATACCTTATTATCATAAAAGTATCTACAGCCACTTTAAGACAAAGGTGAGCAATAATCTGAATGGTTTTATTCTGTTTGAATTTGGAAGGTAGTTTGAATAGGCTACACCTAACTAGTCAGAAGGTCAGTGTTGCAAACCTGCTAATCATTCATTTCTTTTATATTCTGATTATTTATTTCAACTTTAATTATAGTTATTTTAATGTCCACCTGCAAAACTTAAATTCACTCTCGGTATTTCCATAGTTAAATGGAAAACATGCCTGTATGTGCATGCATTATGTTACCTTGGTAGATTGCAAGTCCACAGTCTCAAGAAAGAGTTGTCGACTCAGCTCCTCTAGAGCATCGACCTCCTGCTGGATCAGAGAGAGATCTGGAGGGAACAAGTTAAGGCTGACATCCACAACAAATGATGGAGACTTTAACATTATTTCAAGATAAATAAAAAAGGATACTTTCGCTGCCTGTTTGTGTGGAGGTGACACTCTTGATCATGCCCCAGAATCCTGTCTGTTTGTTCTGGTCTTCCCCACGCTGGTACATCTGCCTCCGTGTCATGGCAATTCTTCACATACAGAACAAATTGTAGTGGCACAAATCCTTTGTTTTATGCATTTTATAAAAAAAAAAGAAAAGAAAATAACTAACCGTTTCTTCTTGCTGACAATCATGTCCATAGTCTGGAGCAGCCGTCTCTCCAGAGCAAGGATGTCACTGTCAGTTACATTTCTGTGAAAAATAACAAAGCAAGAAGCATCTAAGCAATGTCAGCATGTGTGAACAGGGATACAATTGAGGATAGTAATGTCTGATCCATAAGTAGACTGTAACAGGCTGTGGGATCTGACTGCTGAAGGTTATGTCAGCGTAAACCCACAGCTGAGCTCACCTGAGGAAATAGGACATGTACGTGTACGGACAGTTGACCGCACCAAACCCGGACAACAAAGCCATGAGTGTGACTCCGATCACACCAACACGACTGATTAGCTGCTCAATGGACAGGATGCCTGAACAAAAGACAACAGATTGAAAACAGCCACACAATTGTTTCACCACTCCTTTCAACACTCTTTGCAGATAAAGGACTGTCACATTATGAGGAAAACAAAGGCATTCACAGTCAGAAACTATGCATAAAGGTGCCCGGAGAGGAGAAGGGTGCACACTCACCATGTTTTGGACTCAGGATGGGGAATGGGTCCCCCAACTTCCAGAAGAAGTACATAAAGGTAAACCACACCATACAAGCGAACAGAAGCCTCTGTCTCTGCACTACACAGACACAAAGCAAACAGATTTCTGTGACACAATGTGCGAAATAACATCTGTCAAACAGCATGATTCATTTTTAGTCACAGTATTTAATCTTCAGTATTCAGCTGATCAGCTATACTTACACAGGCGTATGTTACTGACAACAAAGTAGCCAATGTAGAAAGGCACCACAAAGATTAGAACCAGCAGTATCACATACAGATTCAGCTTCCAGTGGAAATACCTGGAGCTGTGAGAAAGATAGGAGGGTTACAATTCTTCATCTGCAATTAGCAGCAACAAAACAGAGTTATATTCCACAGAAAATGCACTTACCTACTACTTAAGGCACCCAGAATCTCAAAGATGATGAGCTCAAACATGGTACATGAAAAAGCAAAAGTGACAGAGAAAACCACCTGGACAATGTACTGTCGCACCTGTCAACAAACACAAGACAAGTCAAGACTGTTACTTAGCACAGAAGATACAGGGATGATGTATGGCTATAGCTCTATTAGTGATGACACTCAACACATCCATCCTAGTGGTCATAAAATAAAATAAAACACTGTACCTCGTAATCTTTAAACAGCTGCCGCATGAAGAATAACCAGCCAAATCCAAAGAACAGCACCTGTGTTGGATTTAATGGGAATTATTTTGAGAAAGGAGAGAAGGGAACAATTGAACTGTCAGATTTTTAATTTAGTAAAATACTCTTTTTTAAGTTTCATCAAAGTAACAAGTTTGAGTAAACTGAGAAACCAAATTAGAAAAAGATCTAATTCGGTGTTTCACTAATCTCAAGTCTATGATTTTTTTACTATATGAATTTTTCATGGTAGAGTTCATTTGAACACGTCACAATAGGAACGAAATAATGACGCCTTTATTCCATTTAGCTGCTTTAGTTTCAGGGCTCTGGTATATTGTTCATACTGGCTCAGTCTCACTGTCAAGGCTTATTACTGGGACAGAGCAGCCATTGTTTATGTGATTAATGACACCTGTGTTTGTCCTACAATGGTTTAAATGTTTGGTGTGAAAAAAGGCCTTTTGGTTAAATTTCTCAATGCTGAGATCACTTTCACAAAACTCAAACACAGTTTTCTTTACCAGCGTACAGTTGAATGCTTTTCATACCACAGTAACCTACAAAGCACAGACAACAGGTGGCATTACAACACTTATCACCATTGTCTTTGAATTTATTTATTTATTTATTGCATAATTCAATGCTACAATATGCAACATTTTTTGCTAGTTTTTAATTGAGTATTTCCAAAATATAAAAGTGAACTGAATTCCAGTACACCAGTATTTATATGTGTTACATACGCGCACAGGACAGATATACAACCATAGAGATGATAGTAAACCCTGTCTGCTGCATTGCCACAGTATGTCCGTCCTTACATTACACTGTATGGTTGGCCTTTTTATGTTCATCATGTAAAGAGCTAAATATAATATAATCAAACTTTCTAGTTTTTAAGTGAAATAAAATCTGTTGATACAGAGTTGCTGCTGGTTGAGTCTGAGGTAGAAAAAAAACAACTAATGGATTTTAAATGTAATAAAAACATTTGTGTCATTAAGGCAAAAAGTGATTCAGTTTAATCCAGACTGTGAGACTGCTGTAGTGCTGACTGTGGGAAGAGTTGTGAAACAGAGACCTCAGTATGGAGAAAACATAACATGTTGACTGTCTTCAAGCTCGTCTTGAGCCATTTTAACTTTGACAGAAGACATTAAAACTTGTAGGACGCACAACAAACACTGCAGTTCAAGATATTCACCGTAACGTTAGCTCACAACATGCGCTGGATATATCCTTGCTCACAGAGAGAAACACTGGTTACAATCTGCCCGCTTTACTCTTCATGATCGTTAAGTTACCTGTGAGGTGAACATGATGACCGAGTCCACCACGAACGACATGATGTCTGTGAAACTGCCTTTCAGTCCGCTAATAACTGCTGGTGCGGGCGGAGCGGGGTCGAGGGCACTTTCACTTCATGCTCATGTAAAAGCAGCCACCGAGCTATAGTGTTATAAATGTTATAAATGTTCGTTATGTTGCTAATGAGCTCATTTTAGGAGCATTTGTTGTTCAGCTGTCAACTTGCAACGGTTGGCCGTACGTCATCAGGATGTAGCTGAGAAAACGCTTCCGTCGCGAAACTGTGACGTCTCACAAAGAAAACCGAAACGTAAATCACAAGATTAATAGATTTTTTTTTCATTTAATTTTGTTATGTTATTATTTATTTTGGATTAATATAAAATAATTAACTTGGTGACTTGGTTATTTATCACTGTGAGGATTTTGACGGGGTTGTTGTGGTTACCGTGTTTACCTGCAGAGGGCGACAAAACAGCGGTTTGCTATCAAGGCACTGAAAAAGTTTCTAAATGCACCAAATGAGGTTTTGAGTCCTCTGAGAAATGTTTTGTGTCTTCTGTGATGCTAATGCTTTAACAGTCATTTAAAACTCATCTATTTTACTCAGATATTACTTAAATAAAAAATAAAAATCTAATATTTGTTAAGCATGCATTTTACATATCAACATTTGGAAATGTATGGGAAGGACATGGAAGCCTTAGACACTGAAATCTCCACCAGTCCCACAAAACAATACAAACTAAGTGACACTAGGGGGCGCTGGTAGTCCAACCCTGGGCGCTGGCATTGTCTGCACTCAGAGCTCATCCACATCCAGAAAAGTGAAGTTAGGAGCTGCCACCGGCTGGTGTTCATTGTGCTGGTGGTGCGCAGAATAGAAAACACTCGGATGAGGAAAAATAGTTTCCTGCTCGTTCTGGAGTGATGTTTCAAAAGACTGCTGGGTCATAAGGACGGGCAAGATGTTGCAGAGGTAGAAGATCTTCAAGTGTTGGCTTTTACCTTTTGCATTAGGACAAGTAGAGGTGAGTGTCTCAGTCTCATGGGTGTATAATTTATGACACATGGAAAAGAAAATATGTGACAGATAATTCAGTTCTCCATAGTTTTCTTGATTGAATGCAGATTGTCTCATTTAATCAAGAAAATGTGGAACTTTCTATCATTGCTGTATATCTTTGGTGTGCAATTGGCTATAAAAAGTTTATATTCATTTATAAAGTTCATTCCAAGTTGTTGTATTAGACTTGAATTCAACCTAGAATATGTTTGTTCAGCGATGTGGCAGAAAAAAATATTTTGAAATGTTTAAAGCCCTCTGATAACATGATACCCACTAATAGCTCAGCTATTTTCAATCTGAAACTCTTTTTTCATTGGGTGAGGTCCGTGAAAAACGTATTTAATTTCATTACACCACACTGAATAGTTTAATAGTTAAATGTGTTGGACGGCATCTAGTGACCACGGGTCCTGAACTGGCTCTGGGGGAAAATTACGTTAGCACATCAAAATTCTTACACTGTTGGATAACCAGTTGTATAAACTATAGGAACATTTGATAGAGTTCATGTTGACTAAGATAACTTTCCACATCTCAGTACCACCTCAGTTCCTCCTCCCTGTTAAATGAGCAATGACGAAGATGATGAGCCAGGCCTCCTGTAGGAAAGGTCTGCAGGTGTGTTTACTCCTACTGATGGTGGGAAGACTGCAGGGTGAGTATGTCATGTTAATACAGGTATGGAAAAACTCCAATCAAGAACTCACGTCACACTAAACTATAATGTTGTTTTAAATTCAGGCAGGGTAACAGCACCAGAGCGTCTGGAAGCTCCAGTGGACAAGCCTTTTACTCTGATATGCAGTGTTTCCAGGGATCGAGGTGAGTCTCTGAGGCAGGTGCGTTGGCTGGATGTCCAGAACCAGACCCTGCTGAGCTACCTGCCCGGCCAAAGAGACAGTGTGAGTGGACAGCAGCATGTGGAGCTCGCCTCCTCCCCAAAGGACGCCTCGGCTATCACCATCCGCAGGGTGGGCTTCCGTGATGAAGGCTGCTACACCTGCATCTTTGACATGATGCCTTCGGGTTCAAAGCAGGGACAGATCTGCCTCACTGTTACGGGTGAGTTAGACCATTAATGACAGCAGGTTTGCACAAGGATGTGGTTTCTGCAACTAGAAGAGCACCAGTTTGTTACAATGCAGACAGGACCTAATGTATCTTTAACCCTGAGAGTCCATAGGTTCACTCTGGTGGGTGCAGTTCAGCTTCATAAAGTGTCATTTCCTGTTATGTTTCTACTGATTACTCTAACAATGGCATAAAATGCCCCAAAAAATGTTTATTAAAAAAGATATAGTATATATCGACTCTACAGCCTTATGATTTGATTTTTGAGGTAGTAAGCATAGAACACATGAGGAGTTAGGATGAGCATCAGTAGTGTAAGCTTTGGTTATTGGATCTCCAGGGGCTCATAGTAAACAATAAAGATGTGGACCTCTGACATATTGTCAACCCTGGCTAGAAAAGTTTAGATGAAACATGAGTTTTTGTAGCCAGGAAATGGCTCTGCTATTCTGACACGGTAATGAAGGTTGTGAACTAAGTGGAAGAGGCCTCCGCTTGAGGCCGAGTTGAGTAATGATCATGGTGAGGAAGCTCAGATATCCAGAATTTGGTGCCTGAATCAGATGAGATGCCCCAAACTGAGGAGATTTGCTAGGGTACTTGTTTAATATAAAGTAGCCACCAATATCAGTGAGGAATTACACAGCCTAACATAGAGGTGCTCACATGAGAATCATAAAATGACAGTTGCCTGAATTAATTTCCGTAGTTTCTTCCTCTGTTGGTGTTTCATGGCTTAATGCTGCATGGAGTGTCAGAAGAATGGGAAAAACCGTTATTCCAACTTGGAAGTGTTGACACGTAATTCCTTTATGGCTAGCTCCTCTGTTATTCTTGTAGCCTCACCAGATAAACTTGGCTTCTTTTGTTGTATTACGTACTTGTAGCAGTAAAACTAGACAGAAAGAAACTGTATAGCTCAAAGGTCCGGTGTGTAACATTTAGGGGGATCTATTGGCAGAAATGGAATTTAATATTCATCTGTATGTTTTTATTAGCATAGTATCACCTGAAAATAATGTAAATAGATAAAATAATTAATGAGCCGTTTTTATCTACAGACACCGTGGGTCTCCTTTCTTTTCACCAAGTGGGAGATATCGTCTGTGTCAGAAATTCCCGATATAGACTTGGAATTACAACCCGGTGGCTTACGTGAAAAGTTTTTTCCCACTCTCCTGTTCGTAATTACAATTTAAACAATGAATGTGGCATAACTCAATTTGGATGCCTTCTGTTTGCACCCGCCCATTTAGATGAAACACAACCCGTTCTCCAGTAGACTCCGGGGACAGCTACTCCTCCCTGCAACCTGAATATCAATCTGCTGTGGGGATTTAAAAAAATATGTGAATACAGATGTCCTGAATCACCCCTAACCTCTGAACACAAGTTGATGAGCCCGTTGAGGTTCAGCCAGTCATGTTAATAAAGAGCTGTGGAGCAGTGGGAGAAGGAGGGCTTATTCTTCTAACCAGAAACAGCTGTTGCAGATTCCAGTAACTGGTTTCTGTTTGGGTGCCTCATATTTCTGATTATTAGCGGTGTTCTGTTTTTCACCCTCTATCTCCCTGTTCTTTGTTCTTTGTATCTTGTCTGCACATCCATCATTCTTTTATTGGATGGTATGCTCTTTTCATTCCCAGCGCAAGTCACAGTCGACAGCAACAAAACAGCAGTGAGCGGCAAGAAGGCCTCCCTCTCGTGCTCCTACGGTTTGCCTGAGAAGGTGCAACAGATCATATGGAGACACACTTCTGCACAAGGAGACTCCACAGAGGTGGCCTCCTTTGCAAAGCGGAGTGACCCCATGATAGAGCCACCCTACCAGGGAAGAGTCTGGCTAAGTGCCTCCCTGTCCGATAGTCAGCTCACCATCCAGCCTGTCGCTATCCAGGACGAGGGCTGCTACACGTGCCTGTACACCACACTCCCTGAAGGGCAGAAGAGCTCCACGGTTTGCCTCGCCACCTATGGTAAACATCTTTTTCCCCAACCAGCCATCATCACTGATTATTTCATATTATGTTTTATAAAAGTAAAAGAAACAAAGTGGTTGAGGGAAAACTTGAGCTCCACCTGAACTGATTCCTTCCTAGTGCAAGATGGGGGACAAAATTCACACTCCTCGTTCCGTTCAGAAATATTTCCTTACAAGAATAGTTAGACATTTTGGGAAATTCTTTTTCGCTTTCTCGCGGAGAGTTAAAGAATACCACTCTCATGTCCATCGGCAAATATAAGGCTACTGCCAACAGCTGGATAGTTTAGCTTAGCAGGAATGGAACGAATAGGAAACCGCCTGCCTGGCTCGGCATCAACAGAAATTAGTTCAACAAACAAATCCTTTAAGTTCTGCCGTCTAAGTTAACCAAGTCAAGTCCTCCTGGCAGTCACCTCTAGGTTTGCTGCTGGTGTTTTATCATGTTTTGTACATGTTTTGTACTAGCAGAACATATCCCTCTGCCATGGATCAGCAAGAAAGCACTGTCTGTGGAGAAACAAAGAGGGAATTTTGTTCTAACACAACTGCAACTTACCCACTTGTTTTGGCTAACTCAGGCCACAGTAACGTCAGACGTATTAGCTTCCTTAAAAAAGAAATTAAGAAATCCATCCGTTAATTGCAAAATACTTGTTTAACTTGGGGAGTGGACATTTTGGAATTTGTTCTTCAATAGATGTAGGAGCTGGGAAGACAGAATCCTGTAGAAAAGTCAAGACATGTGTGCGCAAGTGCCAAGAGACTCAACATAGGAAAGACAGGTACCTCTGGGATTTAGACAGGAATGTTGATCTTTTCTTCCTGGTTGTAGCTGCTGAAAGTTTTCATGATACAGCAAGGCTAAGCGGTTGAATGATTTGTTAACACACAAACACAGAGCAGTGTGTCCATGTGAAGAATGGTGCATTCGAAAGAATGATGGAGGCAGGGAGTGAGGTCCTGATGCATGACTGTGTCAGTGTTTGCCGCAGACAGTGATTCCCTCTGTGCTTTGTCTCTCTCTCTTTTTGCTCATTTGCTTTCCCACTTTTCTCCCATTCCCTTTCTCTCACAGTTATCTCAACAAACAGATGTGCTTTTGTTTGAAATCGAACTGTACAGTACAGTAGGTGTTTCTAGTAGTGAAGCATGATTAGCATTAATCTGTTTTTTTTTTCGGTTTATTGCTGCCTGTCTTCCACCCCCGTTCCACTCTGATGATGTGATGCCCCCCTTCTTTACCCCGACTCTCATACATACTGTCCACACACACTGATAGCTAAAACAAATGATCTCATGATCTCAGCAAAAAAATACCACTGAAGTAGGTCATAAAAATTCTTCACAATGTAATGGAAACATCATTAAATTTAAATGGCATAAATTACATTAAATTTAGATTTAATGCATTAATAAACGTAAATTGTTCGGCCACTTGTTCAAATAAAAGAGAGGTAGTCAAAATGAGTAACTATAATGCAACTGCTTTAAGTCTTAATGCCATAAATAAAGCTGCTAGTGGGTTCTGTTGTGCATGGGATGGAATTACCACACTAGATGCTGGCTGTAATCATAATTCTAAAATTATAATAACAATGTATCAAATGACAGTGTGAAAGGGGTCACTCGTAGTGATGAACCTACCGAAAATGATCACCTCACCTCTGCAGCTCCCCATTGGCTTTACAGTGCTTTAGTGAGTTTCAACTCATTGTTTATCTACTTTGGTTTATCTCACCACTCTCATTTTCAGCAACAGCAGGCAGCTGTTTTCAGTGAGAAAGCTCAAAAATCCACTGTACACAAATTGCTGAGCAGCAAACAGCAGATAGACACAGTTATCGACTAGCTGGTTAAAGTATATGCAGCAATAACAGTGCAAAAATGTGTCATTAAAACTAAAACGCCTGCTTTTAAAAGAAGTGCTAATTGTGCAGAAAAATATCCTCTGTCAGTATTGTACAGTTACTGGATAATATTTTACTGGATTATTTTTAATGATTCATTCACATTCACATAAGCAGGGTTTTAAAGAAGAAGATATACTTTAATGTTGTAGTTGGTCAAGGTGCAGCTAAACTAAACTTGTTCTGTACTTTTATAAAAGTGCATTGTATTTTCATCATTGGTTTTGTGTGTAAAATGTTATGTTAGTACTTGAGGAAATGTAGTACAAATTAAATAATTGCTTTGGTGGGAACTCTTTGGTGCATATTTTTTGTTAAATTCTTTTCTTTATGTATTTTATAGACATTAGGTCTATTTAAAGTTAACAATCAATGCAAAATGATGTGTCTTACATTGTGTTATAAATATATGCCTTTTATATGGCATCACAGTAGTACAGAGTATTACATTTTTAGTACAAAGATTTTGGGGAAAGATTTAGATAAACTGTGGAATTTATTTGAATTTCACACCATTTTTGTGCTCGTTCACAGGTAATTATGGTTTGGATTGTTCAAGGAATTTTTTCCTGTTGTGGTTTGACCCAGCCCGAAATCTGATACAATCCAGACCGATAGTGGGTAAAGCTCACCACCTAGAGCTCTGAGAAGACACTAAAACTACGAGGGCCAAATATCTGTGGCTAAATGTGTTCTTGCCAACAAAAATGTTCTTGGTTCCAGTGTATCACATTCCTCGCTCAGCCCCGAGAACAGAGAATTGAAAACAGCCAGAGATTTACTTATGGATCTTAAGTGTGCAGGAATTCACATACCTTAGCTGATCCAAAGGCTTCAAGGTTTTTCCCAGGTATCATCTTAGCAATTTACCCAAAGATATACAAATACTGCAATCTGATTTTTTTGATTAAAATAATGTGCTTTATATACCCGTCCTCCCACAGCGTACTTTCCATATTTCACTTAGTGTTTGATCATCATGTAACATTTCCAGAGCTTCTGTCTTGTGCATGTCACACACAGCACAAGAGAACAAAAGAAGAAATAATTAATTAATCTCAGTATGAGCGTGTTTTATGTGTAAATGTGTGCCGGTGTGTTAGCTTTTGTCTGTTTATTTCTCCCAGTGCTGCCCAAACCTCAGGTGAGCTACAAGACTACCTCTCCAGGTGTGATCGAGGCCAACTGCACCTCAGTGTCGCGCCCCCCAGCGGAGATAGTGTGGAACGTGGAGAGGGATAACCGCACCATGGGCCCCCCTGTTACGACACAGCTCCCACAGGGAGACGGGACCACCCTGGTCATCAGCACACTGACTGTCCAATCAGGCCTCCTGAAAGATGTGTCCGTCAAATGCTTGGTGCACCACAAAGGGCTTGAGTCACCGATTGCTGTATCCATGAACACCAAAAGTGAGTTGGTGTCAGTGAACTCTTTTTTTATTCAAGAATTGTCTCTTTGTTTTTCCTGGCATACTCCAAAAGTGCTTTATCATCATTACTTTAGATTAGAATACTGAATAAAGAGGAAGGATGTCAGAGACAACATGTGCACATTGTACTGATACAGTAGATTTAAGTAAGTAAAATTTCAAAGAGCTCTAAGATGTTTGTCAAGCATTGTCAAAAAAACATTACAAAGTTTAATAAATTTTATTTCACTGATTCTGAGACAAGAATGAGATTCAATATGTTTTTGCATAACATATATATATATATATATATATTGAGTTTTTTAAAAATATGCAAAAAATATTGTCCCTTTCCATAGAGGCATGCTTTCTCCTTTATATGAGAGTGTCATACTGTGAGGATGTTTAAGTCTATATTGCTTGTTCTGCTTTGTAACAGTGGTCAGGCACAGTGGATGATCTCTGTTTGATCCAAATGTTGCCCTGTTAAATGTATTAGCAGCTGTCAGGAGAGTGTGTGGATCTTTTTTTTTTTTTTGTACTTTGTCCGTCATAATACAAAGGAAAGCTATTACCACAGAGTTCTTCTACTATTCCTATTTTTCAAATGTAGAATTTCCTCTGTACAAACATTTTAAAAATATATATTTTATAAAAAATAAAAAGAACTTCGTATTAGTTTTAATGCAGTTTAGGATGAGCAGTAGGAAGCCTAAGTGTGCTATGTCTCTAGTTTGCTGTCAACCTTTAGTTGACCTTAGTTTCATGGGTCAGGAGTGCACACATCAAAGAAATTAGATGGTAACACTCTAAAGTAAATCTCAAATCTAATCAGTGATGGTCCACTAAGGGAAGCAATGTCCAGACTAGCACAGGCTGTACAGTACACAGGCACACATACCAACATACATTTTTGCTTCTAATGACATTTAATCTGGATTTTGTAAGGGCAGAATTTACACACTGTAGTTTATAATTTTTTTAAATGTGTCCTTTCTAGTTGGGACGGCTCTCACCATCCTGATCTCAGTCACCACAGTGGCAGCCCTGTTGGTCATGTCCCTCTGCTTCTGCCTGTGGAAGTGTTTCTTGCGCAAAGAAGGTGAGTGTGTGTCTGTGTGTGTGTGTGTGTGTGTGTGTGCGTGTGTGTGGCATTGCTATTGTATACTCTGCATTGTTTCTCAATGCCAAGGCTTATATTAACAATTAAGGGAAAACAGTCATAGCGTCACACTCCTTTACACCTCATGTCTTCACACCGTTAGATACAGATGTACAAAAGCACAGGTGGCTGTGTGTCATTGGGAAAATGTCAGTAGGAGGGTAGGTCTTTTTTAAAAGGGACAAAAACATTTATAATAAAATAAAGGTACAATATTAATACAAGAATAAGAATGATAAGATTACATTTCACTATAATGAGGGTGAGCTTTAATGAATTCTTGAAGTATTTCATTGGTTCATTTACACAATTTAGTTTTTCAGTTGTATTGTTTTTTCACAATGTCATCTTGATTTATTTAATATTAATAATAATTATATTTTTTGGGCTCAATAAATTAGTGGCATGATGTCTAAGCCATCCATTTCAACTTCCTTTTTAAGCTACCTGCACTCCATCTGCACTTTATTTGCCCATCTAGTCAATGTTCTGTCTGCGCATGAAATAAAACAATCATGGAGCTGTGTACCGTCGTAGTGCTAACAATGTAATATGTATTGTATAGAATGAGGAAATATCAGCCAAAGCAGAGCTCAAACTGGAGCCTTAATAAAAAAAACAGGAAAACAGCTAAATATTTAGTCTTGTAGGGTGTTAGATGTGAAAGCAGTACTATGCTACATTACCTAAAGACAATCATCAAGATGATCAAGATTAAGGTAATCTTTAACAGTTTACTAGCTAACGTTTAAAGAAGTTGGATTCTACTCTATGTTAATGCTAAATGTGAAAGTTATAGTTACAAACATCTTTATAGCCTCTTTTTACTCGAATGAAGACATGCTTTATGTTGAAACACTATTGCTGCATGTTATCAAAACTCTCTAACTATAATAAACTATATAACTCTAGGCTTCATCCCTCCAGATAATGTATTGTACAAGCCAAGAAAATGTAACTATCACAGTATACAGTTTCTTTATAGTCCTACAGGTCAAACATTTTTTGTCATGAGTGTAGCCACCGAATGTACAGCTGTGATGTTTCTGCATGTGTTTCTTTGTAAGCAGTAGTTATCTAGAGTTTCAGGTTTGGAGGGCGATCCATCCTCATTACTAGCCTTATTGTGTTGTGATAGCTGCACCAAGTCAGATGTCCTTTTGATGGTTAATGTAGATATGAGAAAACAGTGAAGTTTTAAAAACATGCATTCTTCTATTTTGTGTTATTACCTCTCCTCTCTCCATGCATTTCCTTTCAGCTGATTAATCTTTCAGATGAGACCAGAAGCTGAAAGGAAGAGGCAGAATAGTTTCCCTGCATCATCACCATCCTCTTGGTACAAAGGGAAGATGTTCTGACACACCTCTATAGAATGTCAAATACAATCGTATGTATGAGCGCCAACTGTACAACGACATTCATCTCTGCTCTTCTGCCTCCGCACCTGACTCTTATATAATCTCCAGGCTGTCCTCACATGAAGTCAATGAGGAAATGTTGAGTGGATCATTTGTTTTCTCTCTCTGTAATTGATTGAGTTGATGGCCACACATTCCACAACGCACAGCAGAGTCACTGTATGGCGAGTTAAAGTACAGTGATTTTGCTGTTACAGCATATTGCATGTCTTTGAAATACTCTCCCCTGGTTGTTTTTCTTTATTAGTCCTTAAAGGATAAGTCTGGTGAAATTATATTTCTTCAAAGCCCATGAAAAGACTGAACAGCAAATGGATAGATTCTGCAACAACTATTGTCGGTGTAGCCAAAGCACGATATAGCGTATTCCTCTGAGCTCCTCTGATGTCCAACAACTATTAAAACACATCACCATCCTGCTTCTATAAATACTTACAAGCACACCAAATGTGTATTAATCCACAGCTAAAAGTAAAGTAAAGTAAAATAGTCCCTCATAAACTATTCTATTATTCATCAATATTTTACTCCTGGTTGACTAAAACTACAGTGCTCAGCTGTTTTTGGAAATCATTTAGCTTTTTTTAGCTTTATTCAAACCGTTATCTACATAGAATTTATTTGACAAATAAAAAAAATAAAAAAATATGGAATACTGCCAGCCTTATCCTTTAAATAACCCAGCTAATCGGCACCATGGGCTCACCTTTAGCGTTTTTCTTCTTGTACCGCAGTCAAAGGCCTCTGTCACCTCTGTGTATTTTTAAAAGGAGGATGGGGTCAGGGACTGACCCTGAAGAATAGTCAGTAGTTTACCTAAGGGGGCTGCATACTTATGTCTTGTTTGTGTAATATCTATTACTTTTCTACACATTTCACAGTCTGTTTGAGTGTGTTGTGAGAGTATGTGTGTGTGTGTGTGTGTGTGTGTGTGTGTGTGTGTGCATATTTGTTAGAGGTTAGATTTCACGATCAGATAGCTTGAATCAATTCCCTGAGAAAGCAACACTGAAACCTTTTTGTTGCCCCCGAAAGGAATGCGTGTGTTGTTGCCTGTGTAGGCGAGTTCATGTGTGTAAAGATGTGAGTGTGCAGGTTGGGCTGCGGCAAGAAAGGTTAGTGCTTGGATAACGGTTAAATGTCCAGAAGAGCCACTGTTTGAGTGTTCTTGAAAAAACAACTAAAACCGTGCATGCTCATTTGTCGGTCACTCTGGATCAAAGTGGCACCTAAATACCTTAAATATATGCCCAAATGCCTTTTGTGACATATCATATTTGCATGTGTCCAGGGGCATTTTAAAAACTGAAGCTTTAGGCTAAAATAATCTTGTATATCAAAGCATATGATTAGAATCTGTCAGTTATCAACTGAATAACATGTAGGTTATATTCGAGCTTTGTGCTTCAGTCGGGCACGTCACAGTCCTCACTATTAATAAGAGTTTAGGCAGCATTCCTCTATCGACATAGTTTCACTATATGCATACTACATTGATTATGAGCCCAGAGTTTACATTAGAATAACTCGGAAATGTGGTTTCAGAACATTTTTAAATTGAAATGTAACATAGTATCAGCCCTGTACAGAGCACAACTGTAGTCCCGTAAAGGAAAAAAATATGACCAACTCTGAAAAGTTGATGTAATAAATGCAACAAACAGAATAATAAAATATTTAAAATAATATGTTTCTGAATCTTAATCACTTTCAATGCCACTCGTTCTGCTTTTTCAGCTCAGCTTTGTACCTCTCAGAAATTCACGAAATTCCTTTCTAGTGTGCCAAACCTGGCTTCCAGATGCTCATTTTTTGTGTCCTTTTTCATCCCAAGCCAGGCTGGTTATGGTGGACCTCACAGCGCACACACATGTTGTGCACACATATGTTGTGCACACACAAAGAGCCTTCAGCATATGTCAAATCTGTTCTGGTGTGTTCATAAGTTCTGGGATAACAGACAGTATTTATTAGTTTTGTTACATATGTTTGTGTATTTAACTAAACACTTATATTTGAGTATATATATATATATATATATATACATACATATATATATACACACATATAAACATGTCAATTTCCACTCATTTAAAAAATACAATTGACTGATCCATGTCTACTTCTATCAATAATCCATTTTTAAGGGAGATTTTGGAGTAGTAACACAAGCATTCATCCCTCCTGTACAGTTTGTAAGATGTTTTTTCCACACACTGTCTGAGTGACCTCAGGCTCGATCTAATCAGGCCTGTGTCAAACGCTGCCTTCGCACAAACCTCCACTTTCTTCATCTCTCTGCCGTCTAAACCAGGGCTTTGTCCACCAGAGAAAAAAACACAATTACTGGTGTGTGTGTGTGTGTGTGAGAGAGAGAGAGAGAGAGAGAGAGAGAGAGGGACTGAGAAACAGAAAGAGAGAGAGCGAAAGTAGAGACTATATGAGCAGAACTTATGTGTGGGCTGTTAGCTGAGATGAAAAATTTCCACTCAGAGACAGAAAAGAAGTTCACCACCTCATTTCACAGGATGTTCAAGACTCCTATAAAGCATGTAGACTACATTTCCACCTTCCTCTCCTGAGTATGCATTCCAGTGAGCATACTTTAAGAAATGTGAAGGCCAGATCACATTATTCAGGAGACATTTTTCCACATGCCATTTTTCAGTGAAAGGACCTTTTGTGAGCATGTGTAAATGCATTAAAGCATCATTATTTACAGGATTTGCTCCACTTTATCTTTTAAAGAAAACTGAATTATCAGCATATTTGTAAATATGATATACTGCATTTATTCCCCCCCCGATGAGCAGTGATGATGAGTGATTTGTGATCTTAGGGGTTACCTAAGGTGAACAGGGCTACATGGGAACTTTTCTGATCTTTCAGATTAAGAATGAGGGTAACACTTTATTTGGATAGTCTGCCTACAGGTGGTTTATAGAGTATTAACATTTAAAAAGCTTATAAGTGGAGATTTAACAGCTGTTTCTGAGCACAAAAAACATGTGCTAAGGTATGTATGTAACTCTGTTAAACATCTACATACATAGGGAAACAGTTGAATTAATAAAATTAAACAATTCAGGAAAATCGGTCTAAGCTCTACAATAGTATTTATAGGATTTATTTGACTTGGGAGCTACATGGGAAACTGAAAATAACAATGAAAAAAAGAAGAAGTGGTATTGGTACTGGTTTACTGGCCCAATTAGTAATCTAATCAGTTACGTAAGTAATCCCCAAAAATATCAGCACTCTTTCACCACTAATGATGAGAAATCATGCAAAGAACAGCTTCATATTTCAGATTTTTAGCAATAATAACATTTTCAACCCTTACCAGAGAGGTAAGCCATACATACAAACAAATATTTTTTTGTTACTGGAGCCCATAATGGCTATATATATTAGGTTATATATAAGTAAATTATGTGTTTAATCAATCAGTTTTGATCAGGTAAGCAAGTGTATTGGGGCTATTAGCACAACGGTTTTTAAATATTGTATTTGACATTTTCTGATGGTTTTATTTGGTACAGAGTCTTGACAGCAATGACTAGATACAGTTGTCTTTGTGGTTGGTTGGAACACCTTTGGATCCATTTTTTGTATTTTTCTGTAAATGTTGCTTTCACCTCTTTCTGCCTGAGCAGGTTGACTAAAATCCCCTTTTAGTCAATCTTCTCACAACTCATGTCTGCAGTAAGCCCGTAGAGTGGTCAAAGGTTGATAATGATTTGTTTTAAGGGGTCAGGAGCCAAAAGGGTTGGGGACCACAGGCCCATCGTCTACGGACATATAATAGTCTTTAATAAATTAAGTCCTCCTCTCTTAGTTATGTGTTGATTTATGCTGGATTTGAAGGTACAAGTAACCTCCTCTTTCTTGTATGTTATGTAACCACCAGAATGATAAGACCACTAAACAACACTCTCTCAGTATGTAAACCAAATGTGTTGTGAGAAGTGATGAGAACCACAAATGATCTAAATCTCTCGACCCCCTCTTCACTTTCTGCACATTTAAACAAAACCACACTTGTGTGGTTGACAGGCCTAGAACTGTGTTTGTGCCAGTGGAAATGAAAAACACTGAGGGCTGTATGTGGGAGAGAACGTATGTGAGATAAAACAGTGGACTAAATATATTTGCCCGTGACGTTGTCTCTCAAAGAACATGAGCTGGCCAAATTAAAATATTCACATTATCATCTCAATTGAAAGAAATGCAAAAATATTTATTAAGTACACTACATCTATAACCTCTCAAAGAACAAAATGTTTCCAAAGTCACAAATAAGCTAAGGATTATATTTAAATGCTAATATTTTTTTACAAGATATAGATGGTCTTTAAACTACCAAATCAGACAGAAGAATGTACAATAAGTATAGCATCTGCTCTACAAATCTACATACCCACTAGATTTTTGTATACAATCCACCAAAGCTTTGGCAAACAAAATAAAGTATGAGAAAGCCCTCCAAGTCACGTACATAAAATGACTGGAGGAGAAAAACTGCTGAAAAAATAACAAGAAATTAAAAATAAAAAGCAGCAGTGCCTGGAACAACTGAGGGTGAGAGAGAATTGCTTCTGGTCTAGCTCAAGATGATTGTACCGTGCTTCTGTATGACCACATGCGTCCTCCATTCCCCCTCCTCAGCAGTGTGGTTGATTGCTTTTACCCTCTACCTGTTCCATGACACCACCACATACTTTTCCATGCCTGTTTACATCTGTGTCCATGACAAACATGTTCAGGAAACATTGATGGCAGCATATTGCGAATTTTGTTTAGACGCAGTTTGCTGTTCTCTGGCAGATCTCCCAAACTGCCGGTGGTTGATGACAGCATACACTGCATGGTCTGTCACTTGACTCTCATTTGCTGTGTTTGTCACAGCAGGCTGGTTCCCGTTGGACATCGGTGGAGGTTGTGATGGTGGTCTTTCTGCTGTAATGGATGAGTAGATGTCATTCAGAGCGGAGAAGTGGGTTTGCAGGACAAGACCAGAGGAATCGCTCCCCCTGGGGAGGTCAGGTATCATATGAGTGGACATTTCCTATGACATAACAACAACAGAACGATTCAGGTGACTAATTAAAACGTACTTGTGAATGTTATATTAGATTTTTGCCAATAGATCCTCCTAGATATGACACAATGGACCTTCAAGTTACAACACTGCATCACATTACCTGCCCCTTTTTGGGGTTGATGAGCAGTATTCCTGTGAAGAAGACACAAAACAAATCCTCCATTGTTAGGTGGTAAACTCTAGAAGAGATCTCACTGTAATTCAGACTAAATTCATGTTCTTACGTTTCCAGCCATGAAGTCTCAGGAGGGTTAACGCTGTCAATGTGGCTACCAGAAAAGCTACGCCAAAGCAGATGTAAAAGTAGGGGAGCCAGGACTCTTCCCCATGATCGGCAACAATTGGTAACTGATCTACAAAAGCAGAAGGACCAGATCAGTAGTCCAAGTCTGTATCCATTCAAATGTAACTATATAGTTGAACAATTATAGGTCCTTACATGCATCGTTTTCTGAGTTGCTAATCCCCTGGATTGAATCTGTAGGGTGATGGAAAGGATATAGAATTAACACAGACATCTGACATCCATCTTGAAAATATTCTTCTCTCTAATGTTGGTTTTGCCTCTTTCTGCCTCTTAAAATCTTAGAAGGAAAATCTCCTTTTAGGCAAACTGCTCACAACTCATGTTTGCAGTAAACCCATAATTTGGAGCGAGTGGCCAAAGGTGGTCAAAAATGTATTTGTATAATTGATCAATTAAAGGTCCTTACATGCATTATTTTCTGAGTTGTTTATCCCATGGTGTAAGTCTGTAGAGTGATGGAAAGAATATAGAATTAACAAAGACATCTTACATCCATATTTTGGCACTGAAAGAAACTGCCTACCTGAAACTGAGATATTGATGATGTGACTGATCAGCTCATTGTATTTGTATACTTTTATACTACATCTGTACAGGCCGTCGTCATCAATGGAAATCCGTTTGAAAGTCAAAAAGGAGATCACTTCATCCTTAAAATCTTCGTCATTCTGTTTTATTTCTACATTCTCTGCTTCATGAATCCGTTCACACTTGTTTGTGTCGAGCAGTTTACACCAGGTGATATTTAGTGATTCTCCACAGTGTTTGACAGGACACTTGACTGTCAGCCCTTGTTGTGGGGGAACTTTCCATCCCGTGCTTCTCCGGACCTTCAGCTCAACATCACATGAAGGATAAACACCTAGATTAAAAAAACATCATGATAGCATAAAAGATTCACTGAAAACCCCTTCTTAGTGTCATCTTGACTAATTCACATTATATCAAACATCTTTAATGTTCATCATTTCAGGAATTAAAAGTGTCTCAATACTATGGTAAATTCTGACAAATACATGTACAGTATGTTTGATTAATGCAAGAAATTTAGTTATATATAACCTTTTGTCTGCTTCCATTGTACTTACATAGGTACCCACTTCTTGCGTTGATACTCCATATATGTTAGATAATACACCATCATTTATGGACTGTCATCTAAAGTGTTTCTGTTTTCTCTTGTCCAATTAGTGACTCCAATCTGTTCAAATATCCCCTCATGCTCTTATTTTGGTGTATATGTACACATTGTAACTTTGTGGTAATGTATCCAGATGTATAGTATAGTATGACATTACCTAGTAAGATGTATCTATGTAATTATTTGTACTACTTCTTAGTGTTTTATTATTATCAGGCTTACCTTTGTCATTCTCTAAGATCAGTTTTGATCAGATGGATCCAACATTGCATCCCAAAACTCCAAACATAGAACTAAAGTCACAACCTTATTAAAGTTTTTATTCCCTAGTCCTTCAGACATTTCTTGGTTTCCAGCTGATATGGACAACTCTGCGCTGAAACATGTGACTTTCGGTTTGGTTAAAATCATTCATTTATTCTAATCTGCAGTATTATTGTTTGTTATTGAATAAAAAAGAAATTCCAAAAGGTTTGGTGTGTTCTGTGCATCAGGAAGGTTTGGTTGACTGAGATCTTATCAGATTTTGTGACATAAAAACAGCTTGTGACAAAAAAACAAAAACAAAACAGAATATTCAAATACCAACCCAACAAACCAACATTCAAATAGCAGAATATTTTGGTCCAGCCCCAGTTATAGCATTATAGTGTACTATTACTAAAGTGGTTCTCAGGGATTCAAAAAGAAAAGTGTAATTTGTTTTTGCCTAACCTCTTGTCTTCTTCCCTTGTACTTCAGTGTAGGTACCCAATACTTATTTTCACCTCAAATATCTATATATATAATAATTACACTGTATGCTAGTTTAAAGGATCTAATCTAACGCCTCACTGTTTTCTTGTGTTCTGTTAGTGACTCCAAACTATTCAAAATGTCACTAATGCTCTCTTGAAAGTCATATCACAAGATAAAGTGTTACTACTTACCATGATGTCCTCCATAGGTGCAGACAAATGTGAAACAGTGAAATGCCAGCAGATAGATGTATGGCAGTCTATCCATTAGGCTCAACATCACCGGAGATCTTGAAGATAATCTAAAACACTTGCTACTGCAGGGGCTTATTTCACTTGTGACAAGCTCACCACTTCCTGTCCTATATTCGAAGACCATCCTGCACACCTCAGTTTGTCACACAGTTCACAATGTGCACACACATGAAAATAGCATACTGTGTAATATCTTTGCAATTTAATTCTGTAATACACCCTTACAAAAACACTTACTTACACAGATGTAGGTCATCCTCAATACAAAACCTGTGACACATAGTTCTAAAAGTTATTAAGTGGCCTTGTCACTTTAGGAGAGAGGGGAATAACCTTTGTAAGCAGTCCAACAGGAAATTGTCACATCCTGGCTTCAACGTCAGATGGAGGCATTAGTTACATTATCTTTCCTGTAGGTGACGAAAAGGAGATTAAATCAATTTTAACACGAAAAGTATAAGCGCAAAAGATAAGCTATATGCGTGCTTGTAAACAGCTTCAGTCAGCAGTGAGTACCAGAGGCCGCCTGAATGTTATCATCATCTTTATAAAATAATAAGACGCTTGCCTGCTTCCCTTATCCAATCTGTGCAAATATCTGCAGCTGATGCATCTGAACAAATGACCAAGTCTGCCAGAGTGCAATCACAAGCAGTTACTGTGGCTTGGATAGAGCGTTTTCAACACTATTTCTAAAAGTACTTCATATAAATGTCAATTACTTTTTTTAATCACTGATGCAGATGATTGGTGCATGTGGATGTATTGCATCATCTTGTGTATTCTCAATAGACATGTGGTCTATTGACACCATATATATCTATATATATATCTTGTTTGTTTCAATTTAACCAGTAGATGGTGTAAGATAAAATGTATCATTTTATAGCAGACTGTGGACATGTACTTGCTCAGTGGTACTGCAAGACTGCTCCAACAGCGCCCTCCAGTGTATAACGTGGTCCTGTCTATTGCATATGAGTACATGGTTGTGTCTAGAATTTAGTACCTCTACCTGCTCCTTGGCTCCTTGCCCACCTGGATAAGCAGAATATAAGTGAAGTCCACCCAATGAATTTCAGACACAACAGTCCTGAGGTGAGGGTGATCATTTACTGTACAGCCCATCATCTCTCACTGTCCAGTCAGACGTTTTCTCAAGCTACGAAAGCACTACAGCCTTCAAGGGGTTAACAAATATACAATCTGTTTTAAAATCCAATCTCAATCATCTATCTGTCTAAAACATCTGATATTCAACAGCTGAAATGATCAACACTTTCCGTGGATCATGTTCATTCTGAGTTGCTTTTTTTAGACTGATTTTACTGCATTGTGCATATTGCAGTCACATCTCTGAATGATCATTGCACTCATAAAGGTATATTTGTACTCTTGACAAAGCTGCTGTTTGTAAACTGGACTTTCAGCTGAATGTGAAAAAAGGTCAGTGACTTCCTCATATTGCTCATCAAGAAAATTTGCACAATCATGCAAATGAGACAATACAACAAGAGCAACAAGAGCAAAACACACAGTTAAGGGTCAGCTCGCCTCACCTAGATCTACCCTGTGGTATCTAGCGATGCAGATATTTTCGGCTACTTATAAATGTTTTAATACAACTGTTCCTAAGACTTCTGCCACAGTTGAAGAGATGATATATGTGTGTGTGTGTGTG